CCTCTCCTCTCCTTCTCTCCCCTCTCCCCCCTACCCAGGATCTTGTTATATCATCCAGGCTGACCTCAAATCTATAGTGATCCTCCTGCCTCAGCCTCCTGAGTGCTGGGATTATAGGCAAGCATCACACGTTTGATCCCCTCTTGAGAAAGAAGAGCCCTCCTCAGCTCACATAACTCACCATCTGGACCAGCAACAGGCTTGCATTGTGTACCACTGCTCTGCCTTGTGCCTAGATGTCCCCACAAGGCCTTGTGTGCTCATAGGACATACCACCCAAAAGGTGGTTAGCTTGGGTGGAATATAAAGGGACAGAAGAGACAATCTGCTTTGCTATCTCACTGCTTTGCTGTCTCTTGGCTGCCTGCTTTTTCATGAATTGTTTTTCCTCTGCAGTGCCCCCCTGCCATGCCACCTGCCTTGGAGACAGCTGAGTGGGAACTGAAACCTTGCTCCTTGCACTTTGGATGTTGAATATTTTGGCTCAGCAATAAGAAAAGTACCTAAGACACATGTGTTGTTTCATTTACTCATTGAAAACATCTACAAGTGCAACAAATGAGCTTCATGGAGAAAAGAGAAGAAAGGAAAGAAGAATCTAGAGATTTAAAGTGACTTAAGAGAGCTATAATGACAGACTACCTATCTGGACAGTGATCAAGCAAACAATTCAGAATATTTGAACAATGACTAGATAGTTGATATTATTAAAAACTAATTACTAGGCAGGTACAGTGGCACGTGCCTATAAGCCCAGGGTGCTGAGAAGCTGAGGTAGAAGGCCCATAATTATGGGCCCAGCCTGGGCAATTTAGCAATTTAGTGACACTCTGTTTAAAGTGAAAAATGTAGCTGAGTACAAAGACTGTGAATTCAATCTTCAGTACTAGAGGAAAAAAAAAAGGAGGAATAGGGCAAGGAGGAGGAGGAGAATAGAGAGAGGAGGAGAAGAAAAAAGAGGGACTTTAGATCTTTGTCAATGCTGCATGCAAAACAAACTTAGAGATGGCACCATGAAACCAAAGAAAAAGCAGAAACAAAAGTGGATTATATACAGATGGGCATCAACAAAATGCCTGAAACATGGACAAGCAGCCCCCTGAAGGATGTGAGAGGGTCAGTGCTACAGAGAATGAAGGACGTGTCTGTGAGCATCTTGAATATTATTTGATATTACCAGTTACACTGGTTCCTCTAATAGGTAGAATTAACTTGCACTCTACTTCGATGTGTAAATAAGAAGGGTACTAAGAATAAACCAAAGGATAATGTTTAAAACATCCTTTATAAATATAAACAAAACCATTTACAGATTAAATCATTTAAGGCCCAGAATCTCAATATAACTGGGTAGGGCAAGTGAGTATGGGCATAAATCAAACAATAAATTAGGAATTATTACAGCAGAACAATAGATATATGAGGGGTCATTGTCCTTTCACTTTACTTCCTATGTTTGAAATTTCCATAAAAAAGCAAAAAACACAAATGACTTTGATGTGAATGTTATTGTCTCGTGTTACAAATAAGGAAAACAGACTCAGTTTAAGAGACCCACGTCCACAGAACTATTTAAGTCACCATAATCTGATGCTGAATTGGGAAGGAATGAGTGGGGATGGCTCACAAGGACGACTAAAGGAAACACCCTGTTCCTGCTGCTTGTTTGTTCAATTGTCATAATACTGTGGGATCTTGGGGTGCTTTGTAGCTCACGATGAGGCACACACCTCATCACTCGAGTGACTGGGGTAACACACAGCACCCGTTTTCTCATCCCATCCTTCTCCACTCTTGTATCCAAAGGCACAGTGTCTCTAGTAAACGTGTTTAGATCTTAAGAAACTTACTGTTTACAGGGGCAACGGCCAGACTGCATAGAAAGACAGAATTCTGACTCACAACCTGCAGCAATTTGATCAGGAAACCAACCGCTAATCTACAATCTACAGTAAACCAGCCCATAGTCAGTCAGATTTGTAGTCAGATTGCTATATTTGGTGGAGATCAGGAGGCCAAGCAATAATCTCTGTTACAATTATCCCCAATTGGGCAAGACTTGGCTAATAAGTGACAGTTACCTGAATTTTTGTTCCCACTCCCAACTGAGGATTGCCCAGACATAGACCTTCAAGCAATCATATACAACCCCTCCTTACAACATCCCCGTGCTGTATTTAGGGCATGGTCTACAACACTTCTTATTTACACATCAAAGTACAGTGCAAGTGAATTCTACCCATTAGAGGGACCCGTGTAACTGATAATATCAATCAGGATATGGCAGAAACCTTCCTTTTTCCTGTGCTACAAACGATTAATTGAAGCTGGGTGTAGTGTAGCACTCTGGAAGGCAAAGACAGGAGAGCTGAAAATTGAAGCCTTCCCAGGGCAATTTAGTGACTTAATGAGACCCTATCTCAAATTTTTAAAAAAACAATTTTTCTTTTTCATGTGTTTGGTACAGGGTCTCACAACGCAGCTTAGACTCAACGTGATCCTCCTGTTTTCAGCCTCCCCAGCACTGGGATTACAGGTGTGTGCCACCCAACCCAGGCTCAGTGGCAGCTCAGTGTACCCAGGGGCGGGGCCTGTGTGGCTTATGGTGCTGGGAATGGAACCCCATCCCTGAACTTGCCTAAGCAACGATTTTTCTTTTTAAAAGGCTGGGGATAAAACTCAGCATAAGCACCCTGATCTACCAAAAGAAAAAAAAAAAAAAGTTAATTGGAGACCTTAGGGCTGAAAAGGCTCTAGCATCTTCAGTCCCTATATACTCAAATTGAAATTTGACTCAGTATAGTGAAGCAATAACACTCAAGCTCAACTAATCAGAAACCACCGAATTAACCTCTAATTAGGAACTTTAAATCAAACTTTTTTTTTTTATCTTGCTTTCACAAATACTTTATAAAAACCTCCCTCTGTTCCTTTCTCAGTGTAGTGGTCAGCCTTTAATGTGTGGCGCTGGCCGGCTCATGAATCCTTGCTCCCCAAACACAAATGTTGAAAGCATTAATATGGCTGAGACTACTTATCTACCAAGACCATGTAAAGCATCCCGTCCCTGTGCCTGTCCAGGCGTGCGCCAAAGGCCAGTGATGATAGCTGAATCTCTTGCGACAGCAAGTTCAGAATAAATAGCCTTTGCTTGTTTTTTGTGGGGTTTTTTGGTTTTTTTTTTTTTTTTTTTTTTTGGTATGTAGGCAGGATCTACAGGGTTCTACAGGGTCTCAGTGCATTGATCAGACTCCTAGTGATCCTCCTGTTTACAGCCTCCCAAGAGCTGGGATTACAGGTGAACCACCATGCCCAGTCTCAATTGCCAATTTAGTGCGCCCCGGGGGCAGGGCTGGCGTGACCTTTGCTTGTTTTTAGCAGGTTAGGCTTCACTTATTTCCACAGAGAGTTCACTTAATTTAATAATTTAAAAAAAGGTAAAGAAACCCAGCTACTCAACACCCACCTTTACTCCGACTTCTTCACATGGAACAGGAAAAACAAACTTCAGTTGTATCTGGATGGTCTTTTTACCTTTTTCCTAAGAATGAAAGGCCGTAGCTATGCTTTCGCCACTTAGCTGAGGGGAAGCTAGCAGAAGAGGGGCTGCTGGGGAGATTCCAGTGACCCCAATCTCTAAACCTGAAACAAGGTGGATCTCCTTGCTTCAAGCCAATCTCCTCCCTGATGACTTTTGGTTCATCTTTTTTGAATGCGCCTTCAAGAAGACATTTACAGTCTAAGAGCCTCTTCTGGGCTGATGAAACATCTTACCTCTAGGGCCAGGAAGACAGCTCAGTGGCATAAGCGCCTGCCTGGCTAGTGCAAGGTCCCAGTTCAATCCTCCCCCTCCCCATACCAAAAAAGCAAAAAATCTTACTTGGACAGATTCCCATTAGACAAAAACAAAACGGAAACACAACTCCCGGCAAACCATCAGTAGCAATCAGAGGAAAAAAGGAAGAGAAAGTTGGGGTGGCGGGGAGGGGGCTTAAAAGCAGTTCTGAAACCCAGGACCTACAGCGTGACTATCAGTACCAATGGACGGTCATTCTGCTTTATTGTGCCTTGACGGAAGTGGTCACTAAGTTTTCAAATTTAAAAACAGAACAAAACAAAAAAAAGCATGAGAACTAGCTAAGTGTTGCTATAGTAACTGGGTTAGAGATTATAAATTAAGGGCCCTGGTATGCACTTTAATAGGAAATAGAGAGCTGGAGCCCTAAACAAACCTAGGGCCTCTTACTATAGGTGTCCAAAATAGTAACAAAGCTGGGTGTGGTGGCACACATTATAATCCAAGGAATTGGGAAGCTTGTGGCAGGAGGATTGCTGTGAGTCTGAGGCCAGCCTGGGCTACAAAGTGAGCTCAAGGCCGGCCTCAACTACATAATGAGACCTTGTCTCAAAAAGACAAAAACTAACTAAATAAATAAATAGTAACAATACATCATCCCCACCTCCACCACCAGTGCTGGGGAATTGAACCCAGGGCCTTCTCATTGAGCGATAGTCCCAGACACTTTTGTTTTCCATGTTGAAGCAGGTTCCTGCTATGTCAGTAAGTTGCCCAGGTTGGACTCGATCTTATGATCTGTCTGCCTCAGCCTTCCAGGGTACTGGGGTTGTAGTTGTACCACACTCAGCTCTGTTGTCTTTTTTGCTTTCCATCCACTAGTGGTACTTCTATGAATGAAACACCTGGGGAAACAAATACAGCTCTCTCGCAATAGACGAGCGGTTCATAAAAGTGACAAATGCTTTGATCAGCCCAGGGGTGAGAGGCAAGGAGTAAAAACGTGAGCTGGCTTGGGGTAACAAGCAGGCTGAATGCCAGGAGTAGCAAGCTGGGTCTTCAAACCCCAAGTGATCTCAGCAAAGAGCCACACAAGAGTTAGCTATCATCTTTTATTTACTCAAATACACACGCAGGCAAATTCGGCAGCATAAGCCCCCGTTAGACTCAGTTCGCTGCTTCTGTTCCTACCACCTTCTAGGAATCCTGTGAGAGTCGGCTCTTGGCCTGAACTGGCACCATCACGGTTCAGTTAGAAGCCTTTGTTGCTAACTCAGTAGACACACTTCAGAATCCAGGCTTCTCCTTCTGTTTGGGACAAAGGGACACACTCAATAATAGCAATAATATATTGTCCTCCAATCAGGCCTCCAGAGAATTGAATTAGTGGAGAATAAGAAAACAACTGAAGTGGAGGTAGAGGCCATTAGTAAAGGTACAATGGCAGGCAATCAGCCAAGTGCTCCCACCTCAACGGAAGGATCCAGAGGGGTTAGGTCCGCAGTGTCCACTCATGCTGAATCTTAAGGTCAATGAGATGAAAAAACTTCTCTCATGGATAATTACTCAGAAATCTGCTCAATGTTTGAGTCCAAGGAATCAGAAATCTGGCAGACTTTACAGTCTTTGAGGATCAAAAAGTAGGTTTCTTTGAACTTCTTTATTTTGCAAGCGTAGACAATAGGGTTCATCATGGAATTAGCATGGGACAGGAGGATGCCCAGGAACATGATATCATCTGATATACTGACATCAAAGTACAGCGCACAGTTGATGATGGACAAAGGGAGCCAGCACAGAGCAAACAAGAAGAGAACCAGAAAGAGGGACTTAGCTGTCTTGAACTCCCGCCCATAAAATGCACCTGTCTCTTTGGAGGCAGAAAGGTTCTGACTGAGTTTATTCCGGATGACATGGAAGATGTTCAGATAGATGGCACACATGACAACCAGGGGGATGAAGATCCAGGTGAAAAAGCTGAAGAAGACCATGTACTCCATACTCATGGTGGAAAGGAAGGTGCAGGGACAGATGGTGACATTCTGCAGTTCTTTTGAGGCTAGTTTCCCATTCCAGCCAAGCATGGGGGTCAATCCCACCAGAAAGGACACCAGCCAACAGAGGCTCAAGGCCAGCCATATTCGTCTTTGAGTAGTGACCCTCTTGTATCTGTTTGAATGGAAAAGAGGCAGTGAGTTCACAGCAGGATTGCTGAACATCAGGAGGTGGAAATGACTGGGAGGGGGTGACAAGGCATAGACTATCTGTTCTCTAGTCTGTTAAAGGATTAAAAAATCATACAGCCTCGGGGACTCTGGCTGAACTCTACTGGATATGAAGACTAGATGAGCAGACAGTTATTAAAGAAAAATCCAGAAACTTCCCTGGGGAATTTTCTAAAGAATAATAATCTGGAATAGATCAGGACTATTTTGCCAAGAGTCCGGTGCTTTCATGCCCTGCTTCTGGGTCTATTTCCAGTCCAATAATTGTTTGGTTCATATGATGTAAGATTTAACTAAGTGCCCTGAGATCACCGGCCTGGCGGGAAATGATCTCCTAAGGCAGGCTTGCCTGCTGTGTGCTCCATTTGTGTGTCTGGCTCACGTGCAGATACAGATGAGGAATAAATTTTACTACACCTTCCCCACACTTCTCCTTGTGTCTCTCCCTGTGTCAGTACTCGGTGTTTGAGTTAAATGAATCAAGTGGTTTGCAAAGCTGTACTGAACTGCTTCAGAGAACTTAAAAGGCGACTCCAGTGAAAGTCATCATTTCTTTTGAAAGCATGCTTCCGAATAGCAACTCAAGCAGACTGCAAGAAGGAAACTAGCCTTGCTAACAACTGTTAGACTTGATCTCAGTTAAAGCTCACAACTGAGATTTTTTTTTTTTTTTTTTTTTTTTTTTTTTTTTTTTTTTTTTTGTATTTCAGGGAAGGTGTAGTTCAGGGTCTCACTACTAGATCAGACTTATAATGATCTGCCTGTTTACAGCTCCCCATCGCTGGGATTATAGGCTCATGCCACCCTGCCCAGTCTCAATTGCTGTCTCAGCGCACTCACTACAGGGTGTTCAGGGTCTCACTACTAGATCAGACTTATAATGATCTGCCTGTTTACAGCTCCCCATCGCTGGGATTATAGGCTCATGCCACCCTGCCCAGTCTCAATTGCTGTCTCAGCGCACCCTGGTGGCAGGGCCAGCACAGCAGGCCTGGGGATTGAACCCCCAACCCTTGTGTCTGCCTAAGCAGGCACCTTAATCCTCTGAGCTGTTTGGCTGGCCCCTCTGAGATATTTTTATACTATCCATTTGATTAATGGCAGTGGTGAAAATTGGGGCAGGGGAGATAGCCCAGTAGAATAAGCGCTTCCCTGGCAAGTGCAAGGGCCTGAGTTCAACCCCCAGTTCCACCAAAAAAAAAAAAAAGGGAAAGAATACTTACAGGAAAGAGAATGTGTAGAAAGCACTTTTTCTAAGAACTTTACATATGTTAACTCATTTATTCTCATGATGAAAGTACAATTATTACAATGTTTTTGTTTTTTGTTTTTGTTTGTTTGTTTGTTTGTTTTTTGAGGAACTGGAGATTGAACTCAGGCCCCTGCGCTTGCCAAGGAAGCGCTTATTCCACTGAGCCAGCTCCCCGGCCAGAAAGTACAACTATTATCCCCCACTTTATAAGAAAAAATGATGAGACAGACAGGTAACATGCGCAGTGGGAGTGGCGCAGCTACACATGAGGAAAGGCGAGTCTATTTCAGAGCATCCTAACCACTCTGAGGCCCTGGAGCAGAGGAAGTGAAATGGCTCGCCCGAGGTCACGCTGCAGCTCAGGGATCTGTGCACCTGAAGCTGGCCGGTGTCTCCTAGCCCCGCACTCTCCTCAAGAGAAGAGTGGTGCGATTCAGGACAGCTCAGGAATTTGATTTCTCCCTTTCCCAGTCTACTCTCTTTACCTGGTCAGATCAGAGGTCAGCACTTCTTTGTACAAAGGAGAAATTTGGGGGGGAAAAACTCTTACATCTAGTAAGAAGAAGAAAAAAGAAAATATACATTCTAAGAACATTTCTTAGTACCAGAGCAGGCACAAAACAGGAAGCAAAATTAAAACAATATGCCTAATGTGAAAAGGCACACAACCATCTGTTTATCTCCTTCTGTTCTTATCTTTCTGCTTCTTGTAAAATAAGATATCTTAGAGCTCTTACCTAATAGGTTTCTAGCATTTCTAAACCCAAGCGTAACTTTTGTTTTTGTTTTTCACTAATAATGCACAAAGCTTTCATCATCTTTAGCCATACTGTAGTATGGGACTGACCATATGCGTTCGGTCAGTAGATAACAGAGCAGACCACACCACTTCTCTGTTTCTCATTCCCAAGTCTCAGTTCATCATCCTAAGCCCCTCACTGATCATACAGTGAAAAAACATTTGTTGTCCTCTTCCAACTTCAGCGCCCTATTTGGGTTCACTTTCACTGAAAAAGCCTGAGATGGAACTTGAGTTGGGAGTGAGGAGAGGATTCCCATTTTCCAGACTCCTCTGTCACTGCAGCAACCCCCACCCCCCCATCCTCACTTCAAGCAGGTTACCTGACAGTGAGCTTGACCCGCAGGTATCTGTCCACAGCAATGGCCAGCAGGGACATGATAGAGGCGTGGGTGAAGACCAGCAGCATGCAGCACATGAACAGGCAGCTATAGAAGTGCATTGGGATGCTCAGGCTGATGACAATGGCCAAGGGTATGACCAGTACCCCAACGGCAATGTCAGCCAGGGCCAGGGAGACGATGAAATAGAAGGTGGTAGTCCGCAGACTGGGGTTCAGCTTGATCACCCAGATGACCAGCACGTTGCCCACCACAGCGAAGAGTCCGATGAAGGCCTCCATGGTGAAATAGGTGAATTTAACCCACAATGGGGTATCGGTGTTGTTGAATAGCATGCTGTCTCAGAGAAGCCTCCCAGATGATAAGTTAGCCAGCAGGATTTGTAGGGGCCACTAGCCCTAGCTCTTGCCAGATGTCTTTCCAGAAGTCCAGGTAAAGCAACAGTTGGAAACTCCCAGTTTGCTCATTCCTTCTCCTCTTTGCTGGGATGAGCTCTTGGAGATCCCTGTCCTTAGAGAGGGCCCATCCCAGGGCAATCACTTCTCATCCATGTGTGGGCCATAACCTCCTGGCCTCCCAGAAGCCCGGAGGACAGTTCAGTGTGGGCTGAGTCTGAAAATGCTGCTGCTTTTAGCTCCCAAAGCAGACACACTCAAGGCATCTCCCTCCCCTCCCTGCCCCCCAGAGAGGGCTTTTGCACTCCATCAAGATAAGCAACACTCATTAGGGTTGTACAGGAAGTGAGACAGTCCAAGAGGAAGTAAAGAGGTAGGAACGCAGAGCAAAAAGATGGAAAGAACAGAGGAGGAAGTCATGATTGGCATTGAGAAGGTTCAAGATGAGATTAGATATCAGAATGAATTCATTCAGGGACTATATGAGAGTGTGGGGCTGGGTAGGAAGAGCAGCTACAAACAAGGCCTGCACGATCCTTCTGCGCTCACATCTGCAATGCCAGCACTCGGGAGGGTAAAGCAGGAAGAGGGCCAGGAGTTTGAAGCCGGCCGGGGCTGCACAATAAGCTCAAGCCCTGCCTAGATCACACAGTGAAACCTTGTCTCTAAATAAATAAATAAATAAATAAAATCAACAAATGCCTGCTTTCTGCTTAATTGCAGGAAAGATTCTAGGATAGGAGGACCAACAGGAGAAGCAGAAGAGCAACAATTAGACTTCGGTAGCAGCCTCTAACCTTCACCAGACCTTACTCCTTCCTAGGACAGCAAGTGCTTAGAATCCAGCCATACGTGGAGACTCCTCATTGAACACAGCTGGGAAGCAGCCTTTGTGCCCAAGGTCCTTTGTCAAAGGGCCAAGCAAAGAGTCTGCTTGGAGAACAAAAACGCAGCATCACCTAGAGCCTCCACTGGCCTATGGCAAACCCATTTGAGGAAGCAACAGCAGGCTGGCCAGTCATGCAGAAAGGAGAAGAAAGACTGCACGCACAATTGTACGGCACACCCTGGAACCCTTGCTCCCCGAGCCCTACTTCCCAAACACACGCATCTGCTGGGGGTCAGACCCGCTGGAGCTGCTTACCTAGCCACTAGCTTTTGGAAGCCAAACACTTGAGTGCAATGGTTGTTGGGCTCCACAGAAGTCACTTAACCAGAACATGTTAGAGACAGCAAGAAGGAGTAAGGGGAATAAGCCTGCAACGTGGACTGAAGGGTTTAGAATTTTTACCTTAAACATCTAGATATATACAGCCAAAAAATGAAACCCAGCAACAACAGATTTATTGTTCTGGCATCTTCTTACTGCCAGTTTCAGGGGGACATTAAGAGGTGTCTGGGCACACGGGGCTGTCACGTCCTCTCAGTTCTGCTTTCACATCCCCCGCCAACATTCCGGCTGTGCCCCAAGTTACCCCCAGTCTGACAGCCTTGTGCTTGCATGTCCCACATATGTCACTTCTGCCCGAGCAAGGTGAGGGGCAGTACCTAGCCAGATGTGGTGCATACCTGTGATCTCAGCACTCTGCAGGCTGAGGCAGGACTATCACAAGCCCAGGCCCAGCTCGGACAACTTGGCAACTTAGTGAGAAGGGTTTCAAAAATAACCAACCGTTTAAAGTAGATGGTAGTTTAGTGCGAAGGCCTTGGGTTCAATCTCTAGTACACAAAAATGGAGCAGTGGAGGGAGGCAACCCTCTCTAACCATACTGCCACTGTCCTAAGGTTCTCTCTAGTGCCTGCTGTGTACACTGGGACTCAAAAGGCTCTGTCTGCCTCCTCTGGGGCCTCTCAGACATGTTTCTTACACAACTGCTTTCTTTAACTCTGCTTCAGAGGAGGAAGTTACCAAAAGGTATTTCTATCAAGCTGCATGGGTTGGGGGGGGGCTTTCTTATCATATAGCCATCGGAAACATAATTATTGTAAAAATTCTCTATTCTCCCAAACATTGGCTAGCACCAAGCCGCTTTCTGTGAGACAAAGGCCTTCCCTAGTAGGGATGAGTCATGCTGCCTTCATCATACAATTAAAAGGCAGCTTCCTAGAGAGATCTAGCATCCCCAAACCTAGCCTGCAGCGCAAGCTGTGGGGTCCACAAGTATGGCATGGCCTGGTGGCACAGCAGATGTGTCAGGCAATGGGCAGCCCTCAGCCGAGCAGGAAAAATGATGGCAGTCATATGTGTCACGACCCAGAAGCTGAGGGGAGGAAAAGAGCAGCAGAAGCAGCAGGAATGGTGCTTAAGTATAGGGGCAGCCCACCAGGGAGGGATTGGCCCCAGGAGGACCATACCTGATACAGGGGTCCGGCAACCAAGGTTGCTGGACTTGTACTTTCGGATGCTTTTCTTGTTGGTTCTTTATTAATACTCAGGTGCGTTCTCTGGGGACCAACCAACTTGGGTGGGTTAGAGAAACCAAGCTCAGCGTCCAGCACTACAAAATCTCATTCCCCTGAGAGAGGAGGAGCAGTGGTGCACTGGGGCCACCAGCAGAGCCACCTCTTTCCACCTGGGGATTATTCTTTCAGAAGTCTGCCTATATCTGGGGTCTTTCTGTGAACAAGGGAAGCTTTTTCTTTAGGTTTTCTGAAAAGACAGAGCCCAACACTGCTTCAAGGGAGGTTTGAGAGATAAAGGGAAGGGTTTCCATAGTCACTTCTTGTTTGGGCCTACTGAGGCAGGAGATTAGGACATGGTAAACTGGCTGGGAAAGTGGGCATGACCTTTTAGTCACAGAGATCCAGGCCAGGCATAGGCCAACAGGTCCCAAAGCTCTGTACCTGGCACCAACTTGAGAACGCTAGCTTCAGCTCTCATGAGAAGTCAAGCAGGCTTTTGATAGGCCGGCCCAGACCTGGCACCTGTCCTGAGAGTGGGAGACGCAATACCTGGTGCCAGTGCCCCCTTGGTCAGTGTCTCTCTCTTTCATGGTGCTCTGCTCTTACGCCATAGAGTACTGCTTTCCCACTTAACTGGCCCACAGAAGCTTGACGTGTTTCTTCCCTACCTTTAATATGCATAGTGTCCAATCCTCTGTTCAGGACAAGAACCAAAAAGAATCTCTAGAAGGAATTCCCAGAACCTGGTAACACTATAGGTAGACTCTGAATGTCCCTCTTTACATTGAAAACCAAAAGTTAGTCTGGTGAAGAGAAAAGAGCCCCAGTTCCAAGGTCACCCTGTGTGCCTGCTCTTCCACCTGCACCCATAGCCCACAGCTGCCCTCGGTAACTTGCTGCCTCTTAGCTTCTCCCCTATAGACAATCTGAGGTCACCAGAACAATCTTCATGAAAGCCCAAGATGGCCCTTTACTGCTTAGAAACCACCTGTGCTCTGCCTCAGGCTTAAGGCCAGGCTCATGGGAACAGCGTTCATTAGGAGCCCCTAGGTGACGGGGTCTTCCAGCTCTGCAGCCTCCTGCCCTCTGCTTGTGCAATAGAAAGCAGCTCCACCGTGCCAAGCAAAGCACGGCTCAGAGTCGTTCTCCTTCACTTCCTCTGCCCTGTGCCTACCGCCTCTTATCCTGACTGAAAGGCCTTATTCCCTGGTCCACCTAGAAAACAAACACTTTCCTTCCACGATTGCTCTCAAACAGGACCTTGAAGAAAACCTGCCCGACGTGGCTCTCCCCTGCGTCGCCACTGTGCTGATTGTGTGCCCCTCCCTCATCGGCCTGCAAGTTCTTGGGGAGCAGTGGCCATCCTCTCATTTCTACATTCCTACACTTGTCCCAGTGCCTGACAGAGACCAGGGCCTCGGAACACGTTTCAGAAATGAATGACTAGGAAAGCACCTCCATGAGTCAGCTGGCACTGTATATAAGACAACAATAAATCAACTAGAACTTGTTAAATCCTCTTCATGATATCAGCTACTGTGTTAACCATTTTTTACACTTTTTTTTTTCCATTCAATATTCTCAGATTAAAATTGTTGCTGAGCAAGCTGAGATTCACAAGCACTGAATAATTTATCCATGGTTCCACAGCTCGGGATTGACAGAGCTGGCATTCAGACTCAGGCTCCTGGCTTCAGGCTTCTAAACGACAGGCATCCCCTCAATAAGATGCTGAACACATGAACAACCATACTAGGTTTCCCCAAGGACAAGGGGTCCCTGAGTTTGATGATGTTGAATCACCAGTATCAGTAGGGGGTCAGTATTGTCCAACCTGGGAAAGGATATGACCAGCAAGATTAGAGGAACTGACCCCACGTATAAACCAGCCACTCAGAGTTAGAAAGAGACAGCAGAACCAGATGCCTGCATGAGCAGGCCTCTGGGGGCTGGGCTTCCAGGGGAGATCTGAGCCAGAACAAAAACCATTTATGAAACCAAAGTTATGGAAATAAAATTTTAAGTAGTATAATACATTATAAATGAACCATGGCTCAAGCACTTTTCCCATCCAAAGGCAATGCCAGAGCTGTTAGTTCTACTAAAAGAACCTGAACTCACCCTCACAAGCCAGGTGAGAGAAAGTGGGGTCTGGCCCAGTGCTGAGGTCTCTACAAGGAGAAGAGGATCTGGAGGGTCTCATCAGCCCGAATCTCAGGAAGAGTGACTCAAATACTGAGGACAGGCCTTGCCTGCCCCGAGCCCTAGCCTAGAGCTCCTTGGGCCTAATGCAGTTGGGCACGGCCACCCAGCAGCATCCTCCTCAGCCATGCGCTTCACACTCAGCGAGAGGCCAGGCAGAGGGACAAGTCATTGGATATTTTACAACGTCTCAGCAAAAAAACTAGAAAACTTCAGGTGAAAGTCTCCAATAACAGCAAAGCACAGGCAGCGTTAGCAGGAGGCCAGGGAAAGGACCTCTGGAAGCCCGGACTGGCCCAGGCAGCTGCTGAGATGGACTACCAGACCAAGCAGAAGATAGTGGCAACTGCACACCAAATCACTCTCTGCTTTGATGGCTGCCTGCAAACTCACACAAAATCAGTTTGCTTGCTTCCTCTTGACCCCAATCCTCACTTCCCCAAACCTTTATATTTTTAAAGAGCTTTATGCTTGTAGACCAACAGCAGAGGCTTAGAAAAAGACTGGTGTTCAGAATCACTCCTGAAGGAGGCTGGCTCCTGCATGCTCCCTTGCCGACTTCCCGTCTCTGCTTCCCTGTCAGGCCCGAAGGAAGAGGCTAGAAGCTCTAGCTAGACAGCTTCCTC